AGAGAAAACAAATCACATGACTGCGTTGTCTGTGATTTCATGGTAAATCACCAAAAGAAGGGGAGAAGCTACATCTCAGGTTGGGGAGCAAAGAGGAATGAGTGTGTCCATACCATGTATTAAGACTAGTAGCAGCTTCATTCATTTGCACTTAAGTAGAAGGTGATGTCATCGGACGAAGCTCTTTCCTGATTTTCTTTGGTTTTAATTTTTGCAGCTGCTGTTCCCCAAGTGCCTGTCCCACCAGGTAACTCTTCTTGCATTGAAAGTATAACCCATAAAGGATAGAATGATGATTGTTGTTGTTCAGTCGCTAAGTCATGTCCGACTCTTTTCGATCCAATGGACTGCAACATGCCAGGCTTCCCTGTTTTTCACTATCTCCCGGAGTTTGCTCATACTCATGTTCATTGAGTCAGTGATGCCATGCAACCATTTCTTCAACTTTTATGATTTAGAATTGTGGTGATAATTCATAAGAGTAGAATAAACATCCTATGTCCTGGCTGCATGAGGGAGAGGAAGTGAGGGATGGAGCCCTCTCAAATGGGTGGATTGTCTACATCCCAGTTGAGCTGATTTGCATGACAGGAAGCTGGGACAGGATTAATGATGTGTCCTTGACACCCCACAGCTGCCATATATATATCCAATCCATTTCCAGCCTCACCTACAATCTCAAGGTCCTTCCTACCCATCACACATCTTTCCGCCACCCTCACCCCCTCTTTGGGTGTACGACCACACTCCAGCCAAGCCACGGCTATGTTGACACTAGCGTGATCCCTTCCCATTTTGTGAATCACTCTTGGTTTGGTGGGACTCTGGAGTCTATACCTGGGAAAAGGTAAGGTACCTGTCTGAAGACTCCAGCCACAGGTCTCTTCATCCCGTTTTCACAGGAGGAAGTAGCTCCTGTGGGGGCGTCATTTCAAGTCTGTCCGGATCCTTCTCCAGTCCCCGGTACCCAACCAACTACCCCACTGACGTGGAGTGTGTCTGGGTGATCCACCTGGCCGAGAATTTCCGCATAGAGCTGGCGATCCCCAGCCTGAAGTAAGCAGTTGTGTCTTTTTCTGCTTCAAGGGCCAGATTGGATTTGAATCCGTGCTTTCCCCAGGAGGTTGCCTTTCCAAGTGCCTGAGTCATTAGCTGCTATAACAAAAATTTAGTAAACTAGGCATCTTAATAAACAACAGAAGTTTATTTCCTGTAGTGGCCCTGTGGTGTAATGGTTAGCACTCTGGACTTTGAATCCAGTGATCTGAGTTCAAATCTCTGTGGGACCTGACTATCTTTTGGGCTTCCCTGGTGGCTAAGATGGTAAAGAATCTGCCTGCAATGTGGGAGACCCAGGTTCAATTCCTAGATTGGGAAGATCCCCTGGAGAAGGGAAAGGCTACCCACTCCAGTATTCTTGCCTGGAGAATTCCACTGACAGAGGAGCCTGGCAGACCATGAAGTTGCATAAATTGGACACATTGAGTAACTAGATGACATGACGTGACGAACAAAAATATAATAGACTGGGTGTCTTAATAAACAACGAAAGTTTATTTCTGACACTTCTGCAGGCTGGCAACTCCAAGATATGTATACCAGCTGATTCAGTGTCTAGTGAGGACCTGCTCCCAGGCTCACAGATGGCTTTTTTCCACTATGACCTCGCGTGAGGGAGGGGAGCAGGAGCTTTCTCAGTCTCTTTCTAAGGGCTCTAATCCTGTCTTGAGGGGTCTGCCCTATCAACTTAATCACTTCCCAAAGGCCCCACCTCCTAAGACTATTGCTATTGAGGGTTAAGTTTCAACAGCTCAATTTTGAGGGGACACAAACCTTCTGCCTACAGCACCATCTAACAAATCCTTTCACATATTAGGTGAAAATTGGTCTGGTCATCTGAGCTTAAGGAGTTTTTTTAAAAAATTATTTTTTTCAGATTGCATTTTATTTATTTTTTAAATTAATTTATTTATTTTAATTGGAGGTTAATTACTTTACAATATTGTGGTGGTTTTTGCCATGCATTGACATGAATCAGCCTCAGGTGTACTGGGTCCCCCCTCCAGAACCCCCTCCCACCTCCTTCCCCATCCCATCCTTCTGGGTTGTCCCAGTGTACCAGCTTTGAGTGCCCTGTTTTATGCATTGAACTTGGACTGGAAATCTATTTCACATATGATAGTATACATGTTTCAGTGCTATTCTCTCAAATTATCCCACCGTCACCTTCTCCCACAGAGTCCAAAAGTCTATTCTTTATAACTGTATCTCTTTTGCTGTCTCACAAAAGGTCATCATTCAGTTCAGTTCAGTCACTCAGTCGTGTCCGACTCTTTTTGACCCCATGGACTGCAGCACGCCAGGCTTCCCTGTCCATCACCAACTCCTGGAGTTTAATCAAACTCGTGTCCACTCTCATCCTCTGTCATCCCCTTCTCCTCCCACCTTCAATCTTTCCCAGCATCAGGGTCTTTTCAAATGAGTCAGTTCTTCACATCAGGTGGCCAAAGTATTGGAGTTTCAGCTTCAGCATCAGTCCTTCCAATGAACATTCAGGAGTGATTTCCCTTAGGATGGACTGGTTGGTTCTCCTTGCTGTCCAAGGGACTCTCAAGAGTCTTCTCCAACACCACAGTTCAAAAGCACCAATTCTACAGAGCTCAGTTTTTTTATAGTCCAATTGTTACCATCTTTTTAAATTCCATATATATACGTTAATATACTGTATTGGTGTTTTTCTTTCTGACTTACTTCACTCTGTATAACAGGCTCCAGTATCACTTAAGGAGTTTAAATCACTGAGCTCAACTTCCCATGCAGTTGGAGAAGACCCCATGAGCTTCCCTGGCGCCATCATGGAGGGAGCCTCACCTGGGGTGACCCACACATGAGGACCCCACCCCTCCACTCTCAGCCAGCTCCGTTTGGGACACAGCCTCTATCTCTGGCTGAGCCCCAGTCTGTTCATCGTCATTACCTTTTCTGACCTTCATTCTTCTGCCTGGTGTTATACACAACAGATCATCTTCCTCTTCCCTCTGAGAATTTCTATCCTGTCCCTACTAAAACTTTTCTTTTGCATATTACATAGCCTCAGTTCATTCATTCATCAGTTCATCCCCTTGATGGGGGAGCTGAAATAGACCAGGAAAGACAAGAGGGTGACTGAACTGGACCAGTCCCAACAGGGAGCGGGACAAAAGGGTAGACCCAGGCAGCATCAGAGGGGTCAAGTCCATGAGGGAGATGTGTGGCTGGAAGGAGATGCAGGGGTGACTGCAGCTCCTGGCTGGGGGTGAAGCAATATTTGACTTTATGTATAACATTCCAGCAGATTGCCTTGGGGAGCTTAACTCTGCCTTCACCTCCTCAGATTAGAGGACGTCTATGGGTGCCCTTACGACTTCATCGAAGTGTTCGATGGACAGCAGGTTGCCTCGCTCTCCTTGGGCAGATTTTGTGCCGGAACTGAGCTCACATTCCACTCTTCTTCAAACATCCTGACCGCGGTGTTCAGGAGCAACGCCAGGATCACCAACACGGGGTTCTATGCCTTGTATAGCGCCGTCCGGCAGGACGAAAGGGAGAGCGGTGGGTATCCTAACGCAGACTTCAGAGGGATGTCAGGTCTAATGTGCACCCTTTCCCTTTAAGAGAGGAGATGCTTTTGTAAATCTGACCTGTGGGTCCCTCCCGCATTACTGACATCTCAGTGACATCACTCTGACACTGACAGCCCCCAGCCCACCCCTGCCCCTGCTCTGCCCCTCACTGTCGTCTTCCTCCACCAAGACGTCCCCCTAAAGAAATAGAGAGCCGAGTCTCACGTCTTGCCATGGCCGTTGTGTTGAGGGAGGGCCCATGACAACGGTCTCCTCCTTCTCCAAAGGAAGCAGAAACTCAGTAGAGCAAATCCTTCTAGAACAAAACTATCCCAAACTACAACTGTCAGCCCACCTGCTTCCAGATGAGTTCAATGCAGAAACCATCCAGAATACTTCCCATACAAGATAGGAAGACCATTACAGAGCTGTCAGTGGATAATACTTAAGGTGACTGTGCAACTTATCCCTCGGTCAGGGGACTTTGGAGAGTATAAAAAGGAACTCTGAAATAATTGCTGTAGTAGTGTTAGTCGCTCAATCGTGTCCGACTCTTTGTGACCCCATGGACTGTAGCCCACAGGCTCCTCTGTCCATGGGATTCTCCAGGCAAGAATACCGGAGTGGGTTGCCATTTCCTTCCCCAGGGGATCTTCCCCACCCAGGGATCCAACCCAGGTCTCCCGCATTGCAGGCAGATTCAACAGGCACTAATTGACCTACCCCAGTCATAAACCAGGAAGCTATGACAAACCTAGACAGCCTATTAAGAAGCAGAGACATTACTTTGCCAACAAAGGTCCATCCATAGAGACAAAGCAATGGTTTTTCCAGTATTCATGTTTGGATGTGAGAGTTGGTTGAAGGCTGAGTGCAGAGGAGTTGATGCTTTTGAATTTTGGTGCTGGAGAAGATGCTTGAAAGTCCCTTGGACAGCAAGGAGATCCAACCAGTCCATCCTAAAGGAGATCAGTCCTGAATATTCACCAGAAGGACTGATGCAGATGTGGAAGCTCCAATACTTTGGCCACCTGATGCGAAGAGCCAACTGATTGGAAAAGATCCTGATGCTGGGAAAGATTGAAGGCAAAAGGAGAAGGGGGTGGCAGAGGATGAGATAGTGAGATAGCATCGCCAACTCAATGGACATGAATCTGAGCAAACTCTGCAAGATAGTAGAGGAGGCTGGCATGCTGCAGTCCATGAGGTCACAGAGTTGGAGGCAATTCAGTGACTGAACAATTCCTGGCATATCAGGACATGGGTCTCCCTATCTAGAGCCCAGCAGCTGAATGTGCAGAAAGGTGCCCCTAGGAGAAAGTCAGAGATCCTCGCTTGGGCAGAAGAGAGATGGGGCACAGCCCCGCAGCTCAGGGCACTCTGCTTTCCCGTCCCCAGGTGAGTCCCTGAGGCTGGGGGATGGCAGTCACAGATGTGAGGGTCGGGTGGAGGTCTCCTACAACGGCACCTGGGGCACCGTGTGCGACGACAGCTGGGACCTGACGGACGCCAGGGTCGTGTGCCGGCAGCTTGGCTGCGGCGAGGCCTTGTCGGCCCCGAAGCAGAGCCACTTTGGTGGAGGCACCGGCCCCATCATCCTGGACAACGTGCAGTGCGCGGGGAGTGAGGCCAGGGTGTGGCAGTGCCCACACAGTGGCTGGTTCTCCCACAGCTGCGGGCACCACGAGGACGCGGGTGTCGTCTGCTCAGGTGAGCCCCCGGGGGCACGGCACACCTTGCCGGGGGGCATCTCACCCCAGCGGCCTCTGGGAAGGGGGGTGACTCGGGAGGAATTGGAGCCGTGGGCTCCAAGCCGTCTTTTTAAGTCAATTTGCCAAAGAGGTAGTTTGCTTTCTCTTGAATCGTTGTGTTTGTAAAATGCTCAAGTGAAGTGAAAGTCACTCAGTTGTGTCTGACTCTTTGTGACCCCTTGGACTATACAGTCCATGGAATTCTCCAGGCCGGAATACTGGAGTGGGTAGCCTTTCCCTTCTCCAGTGCATCTTCCCAACCCAGGGATCGAACCTAGGTCTCCTGCACTGCAGGCAGATTCTTTACCAGCTGAGACATAAAGGAAGCCTGAAAATGTCCCACCTCAAAGTCCCACCCTAAAAGCTGTGGTGAGGGACTGCCCTTGGGGTCCAGTGGTTAAGGCTCCATGCTTCCAGTGCCAGGGGTGCAGGTTCGATCCCTAGTTAGGGAACTAAGATCCAACCTGCTGTGTGACAAAAAAATAAATAGTCATCATAGATCACTCATATGTTTTAAAGAAAGCTGCAGTGGTTAAATAGAGGGTTATATCACCACCTGGTGCTGGGAAAGAATGGAGGCAGGGGAAGAAGGGACAACAGAGGATGAGATGACTGAATGACATCACTGACTCAATGGACATGAGTTTGAGCAAAGCTCCAGGACAGGGAAGCCTGGCATGCTGCAGTCCATGGAGTCGAAGGGTCAAACCCAACCTAGCGACTGAACGACAACGTGTCCACTGAGTCAGTGATGCTGTCCAACCATCTCATCCTCTGCTGCCCTCTTCTCCTTTTGCCTTCAGTCTTTCCTAGCAGTGGGATTTAGTGCTACACTCCTAGCTGCCCAGAACAGAATGTGTTTGATTAAAAAAAAAAAGCAAATAAAAGAAATAGAAATTTTAATTTTAAATTAATTATAAAAAACCTGATTTCCTTTTGCGTGACTGTCTTACTCAATTCATCTCTTATTCTCTCTTCTGTCTTGGAGTAGGTATTGATGGCAACCCAAAAGTAGGACCAACCTCCAAACATTTTAACCCATTGCCAGGTCTCTAGTATGAGTGAATCCTAGCTACTTTTTAATCCTGTACTTGGGACACCATCTGATTAAATTATTTCTTGTTAATTAACAAGAGCCATGCAGTCCATTAGTCTTTCCCTGGTGGTTCAGACGGTAAAGCGTCTGCCTATAATACAGAAGACCTGGGTTCAATCCCTGGGTTGGGAAGATCTCCTGGAAAAGGAAATGGCAACCCACTCCAGTGCTCTTGCCTGAAAAATCCCATGGACGGAGGAGCCTGGTAGGCTACAGTCCATGGAGTTGCAAAGAGTCAGACACAACTGAGCGACTTCACTTTTACTTTCACTTATGCAGTCCGTTAGCATTGGCAAAATGGTGGGGCTTGGGGCTGGGGCGCCGCAGAGGGTGAGGAGAGAAAGAGGTAGAAGGGAAGGAGAATTCAGGTCCACCAGAAATGCAGTCTCTGGTCACTGGGGTTTCCTGAATCTGTGTCCGCATGCAGTGGGGTGGAGTCACGGTTGGGGTGGGCTTGGTAACTGCCTGCAGTGGTGATCATGCGATAGTTACGTGCAGAGCAAGGAAACAGAGACCCAGGGTCAGGCCTCAGCAAGTTGTATAGAGCTACACTGTCTGCAGACTTGTTGTCCAGGCACCCAGCCTCTCATAGCATCGGCGCATCTCCGTCCACTACCGCGCAGAGCCGTCACAGATCTGCACGTGGATATTTTTGAGTACTCTAAAGGAGTTTTCTGAATAAAAGTCCTTGCTTACAGTATCATTTTTTTTCTCTTGATTTTCACAGGCTCGACTGATGACAGCTCCCCTGCAGGTACGTCAGCTGTATTTAAAGGCTTCTCGTGATTTTACGTGTGCTTTGTTTTCAGTTGCAGCACTTGAAGCAACCGGGTGAATGCTGTAGCTTCCTTTTACATATGAGAAGCTCCAGCACAGAGAACCCTTTAGAAAAGCCACTTCAAATCCAGTATTTCAGCCACAAAGTGGATGCTTTTAGTAACCACCGTCTTGATGTCAGCTAGGGTTTGGACATAATGCAACGAAGGGTCTCCTAACACAGCTGTTCTGTGAGGACACAGTCACATTGCACTGGGCAGGGAGTCCTTGGCTTGGATCGTCTTTGCTCCCTTTTCATTAAAACACGTGCTCAGACCTGTCAGTGCATGTGGGTTCATAAAGCCCTCTCAACGTTATGTCCTGATCATTTCTCCTCACAAAAACACTATAAACTTGGGGCTTCCCTGGTGGTCCAGTGGTTAAGACTCCACGCTTCCAATCAGGGTTTGATACCTGGTCGGGGAGTTAAGATCACACATACTGTGCATGTGGCAAAGAAAACACACACACACTATAAGCTTGAGAGGACACAGGTAATGATCTTATCTAACAAAGAGCAACTTGGGAAACTTCAAGAGCCTCCAAAGCTATTTTTTTTTTTAATAGTTACAAGCAAAAGCAGCTTTAGAACAAGTTCTCCTTATTCTGTTCCCACCCCTCTTGGTTCCTCTAAAAACAGCAGAGGTCGGTGCCTCCTTCTGATGGCGTTTCTTCACTCTTTCTTGCAGATGAAAATATCCATTGTGGTGGTTTGCTGACAAGTAATTCGGGCTCTTTCTCCAGCCCCTGGTATCCTAAAAAGTACCCCACAAATGTGATGTGTGCCTGGGACATACAAGTGGATAGCAGGGCGCGTGTCAAACTTACATTCGAAGTGATAAAGTGAGTAAATAGCTCCTGCTTTTACTCTCCTCTTTACTTGATTGTACTGCCTGCTACCACCACTACCCCCACCCCACCGTCGCCAAAAAATCCAGCTTTCATATTTAGTTCTCAAGAGTAAGAAAGGCCTTGGAGACCCATCCAGTAATACTGATACAAAAAAAATTTTTTTTAATTTTATTTATTTATTCATTTTGGCAGTGCTGGATCTTCGCTTCTATGTGGACTTTCCTCCAGTTGCAGCGAGTAGGGGCTACTCTTTGTCGCAACGTGTGGGCTTCTCCCAATGGTGGCCTCTCTTCTTGTGGAGCACAGGCTCTAGGGCACGCGGGCTCAAGGAGTTGTGGTGCACGGGTTAAGTTGCCCCTCGGTTTGTGAGGTCTTCCCAGACCAGGGATCAAACTTGGGTCCCCTGCATTGGCAGGTGGATTCTTAACCGCTAGACCACCAAGGAAGTCCCCAGATCAAAATTTAAACACATAGATCTTTTAACCCAGCAATTCCAGTTCCAGGAAGTTGGTCTACAGATAAAATCTCATACGCACTGAGAAAAAATATTGGCTGCATTCTTACAGTAGTGCTAGGTTGGAAGCAGTCTTATTGCCCACCAGGGGGTCAGTTAAATAGATTTTGGTACATCTATCTATTGCTGTCACACAGTTCAGCTCAGTAGTGTCTGACTCTTTGTGACCCCATGGACTGCAGCACTCCAGGCCTCCCTGTCCATCACCAACTCCCAGAGCTTGCTCAGAGTCATGTCCATCAAGTCGATGATGCCATCCAACCATCTCATCCTCTGTTGTCCCCTTCTCTTCCTTTCTTCAATCTTTCCCAGCATCAGGGTATTTTCCAGTGAGTCAGTTCTTCAGATCAGGTGGCCAAAGTACTGGAGCTTCAGCTTCATCAGTCCTTCCAATGTATATTCAGGGTTGATTTCCTTTAGAAGTGACTGATTTGATCTCCTTGCAGTCCAAGGGACTCTCAAGAATCTTCTCCAACACCACAGTTCAAAAGCATCAATTCTTCAGTGCTCAGCTTTCTTTATGGTGCAACTCTCACATCTATCCATGACTAGTGGAAAAACCATAGCTTTGACTAGACAAACCTTTGTTGGCAAAGTAATGTCTCTGCTTTTTAATATGCTGTCTAGGTTTGTCATAGCTTTTCTTCCAAGGAGCAAATGTCTTTTAATTTCATGGCTGCAGTCACCATCTGCAGTGATTTTGGAGCCCAAGAAAAAGTCTGTCACTGTTTCCATTGTTTTCCCATCTATTTGACATGAAATGATGGGACTGGATTTTAAGCCAGCTTTATCACTCTCCTCTTTCACTTTCATCAAGAGGCTCTTTAGTTCCTCTTCGCTTTCTGCCATAAAGGTGATGTCATCTGCATGTCTCAGGATATTTCTCCCAGCAATCTTGATTGCTGTCTCACACATAGGGTGTATTGCTATGGAATGATCTGTAAGATCGGGGCCAGTAGTACAGGGACTGATATGCATAAACCATCTTTGGAAGGAAACAAATAGAAACTGTTCATTGTAGCTGCTTATGGGAAGGGGACTAGCCAGAGCTGGAAGAAAAGTTGCTTTTAACCATGTGCCCACCAATACCACTTAAATTGTATTTCTTATGCTTGTAATGTATATTCAGAAAATACAATTGAATGAAAACTTCAAAGAATTAGAAGATTTTTAGAGTTGGGAAGATATGCACTGCCTGCACCAATGGGATTATGGCTTCCTACATCCTGTTTGAAGAGATGTAGGTTTCAGGCAGCTTTTCTAGAGCCCTTCCTAGAACAATCTTGGCAGTGCCTCCTAGGGGAAAGTGGCTAGATCTGAATTCTGTCATGATTTCACAGATTGGAAAACTTCTACAGCTGTCCGTATGACTTCATTGAAATCTTTGATGGCCCACAAAGCAAATCTTTTTCGCTGGGGAGGTTCTGTTCTGGCACAACCCCAGTATTTACCTCCTCAGCAAATCGCCTGACTGTGGTCTTCCAAAGCGACGCCATTGTCACCAATGTTGGCTTTTCTGCATCCTACGAGGCTCTCCTGCAAGACGAGAACAACACTGGTAGGTTCTTGGATCATCTTAGCCCCTGGCCCTGGTTGGTAATGACAGGGAGGGCGGGTAACCAACTCTGTGATTGGGGGAAGGGGTCCTGAGTGCTTTAGTTTACCCTCCAGATCTAGCTAGAGAAAGTGGTTGAACACCCAGCACTGCCATGAAACCACATGTCCACATACATCTTCTGACGATAGAGCACGTGACCCCGGGTGAGATGGTGTGTGGCTGATGCTGTCCCCAAGTCTTGGCACTCAGAATGCCTGCCTAGACAATGTGGGTCCTGACTAGGGCAACGACAGCCAGGGTCCCCAAGCTTGGTGCTTCCCACATCACATAGGGAGCTTGGGACCTCCTTTGGTCTCTGTGAGCAGGCAGTCCTGTCTGGGGAAGAGCTTTAAAAAGCATGTTGTTGTTGTTTTGTTATGTCATTAAGTTGTGTCCAACTCTTTTGCAAACTCATAGACTGTAGCCCACCAAGCTCCTTTGTCCATAGGATTTCTGTCAAGAATACTGGAGTGGGTTGCCGTTTCCTCCTCCAGGAGATCTTCCCAACCCAGGGATCCAACCTGTGTGTCCTGCATCGCAGGCGGATTTCTTCACCACTGAGCCACATGGGAAGCCTGATAAAGCATACACCACCCCAAATCACATTGACCTGAATGATGAAACCCAAAGTACCTTTGTAGGCTCTTTAACCCACCTCAGTCCCTTCCCAGAATGAGAAGGGAGCCCTGGGAAGTTTGTTGGCTCAGAGGAGATACACAGAACTTCCTCAAAGGCAGAGCAGTGACTTGAGCGTGTCTTGTTTCCTAGACGCGGTGCTCAGGCTGGCCAATGGAAGCCAGCCCTGCGAGGGCCGCGTGGAGCTGCACTTCAACGGCAGCTGGGGGACCGTGTGTGATGATGGCTGGGACCTGCAGGACGCCGAGGTGGTGTGCCGGCAGCTGAGCTGTGGCCGAGCAGTGTCAGCCCCCGGGAGGGCGAGATTCGGCCGAGGCCTGGGCTCCATTGCCCTGGATGACGTGAAATGTGTGGGGACTGAAGCCAGGCTGTGGCAGTGTCTGCACGGCGGCTGGTTCTCCCACAACTGTGGCCACCACGAGGATGCTGGCGTCGTCTGCTCAGGTGGGCCTGATGCTGGGGCCCAGGGTGGGTGAAATGACATTCCTGCTCCATGAATCTTCACCCAAGTGTACTTAGAGCCGTGAGGAAGTCCTGGATGGTCCCTGTTTCCCAAGCTTCAGCCCTGCATGGTCCCCATCGTGTGCACCTACTACCCTTGGTGGTTGTTGTAGTCAGTAAGTCATGTCCGACTGTTTATGACCCCGTGGACTGTAGCACAACAGGCTTCTCTGTCCTCCACTGTCTCCTGCAGTTTGCTCAAATTCATATCCATTGAGTCGGTGATGTACCGAACCATCCTATCCTCTGCCGCTCCCTTCTCCTTTTGCTCTCAATCTTTCCCAGCATCGGGGTCTTTTCCAGTGAGTCGGCTCTTTGCATCAGGTAGCCAAAGTATTGGAGTTTCAACTTCAGCATCAGTCCTTCCAATGAATATTGATGATTGATTTCCTTTCACATAGATTGGTTTGGTCTCCCTGCAGTCCAAGGGACTCACAAGAGTCTTCTCCAGCACCACAATTCAACAGCATCAATTCCTTGGTTCTCGGCGTTTATGATCCAACTCTCACCACATCTGCACATAACTACTAGAAAAAACAGAGCTTTGACTACACAGATCTTGGGAAAGTGATGTCTCTGTTTTTTTAATACACTGTCTAGGTTTGTCATAGCTTTTCTTCCAAGAGCAAGCGTCTTTTAATTTCATGGCTGCAGTTATAGTCTGCAGTGATTTTGGAATCCCAAAAAGAAAATTTGCCACTGTTTCCATTTTTTTCCCCTTCTATTCACCATAAGGTGATGGGACCAGATGTCATGATCTTAGTTTTTTGAATGTTGAGCCTCAAACCAGCTTTTTCACTCTCCTCTTCACCTTCATAAAGAGACTCTTTAGTTCCTCTTCGCTTTCTGCCATTAGAGTGGTGTCATCTGCATATCTGAGGCTGTTGATATTTCTCCCAGCAGTCTTGATTCCAGCTTGTGGTTCATCCAGCCTGGCATTTCATGTGACGTACCCACAGTTGAGTTTTCTTAATGCTTTCCTTTATATCAGCTCTTCTCTTTTCACTTAAGTGAATTCATTTTGCAAGGAAAATTTGTATTACCACCATATGGAGGGTCAGGATCACTTGCCATGAATAGAAAATACATAAGAATAAATGCAGCAGCAATGAAACAAAGTTAAAATGGTTAAAAGTAAATAGTGAACTATCTAACCAATTTACAACCCCTACATCAGAAAATATCCTTAAGCAGAACAGAACTAAATGTAAGCTTTTATATTTTAATGCAATGAATGCATGACTCTGAAAACAGAAGTCATATAACCTCAGATTATCTGGCATCCCACCAGTGCTGAGTGATGCCTTGGGAATGGTATCTTCAGTTCAAATCCTCTCCCCTACCAGTTTCACAGGTAACCAAGGATGCTCTGAAAGTCACAGAGCTGGGAGCCCAGCTCCTCACCCAGCGTTCTTACTCCTCAGTTGTATCCCAATTGAGTCTCTGCAGATAAATTCAGTATTTGGAGTCAAAAGCCCCCCTTTATCTCCACATCCTTTTGGCTTTGGCTGGCAAGAGGCAAACTGGTTCATCAACTAGACTGGCAGCAACTGCCTGCCACAGGAGGAAAGAACAAGCAGAGGTGAAGGGCCTGGAAAGTTCTGAGCGGAGGAGAGAAGTGAAGAGCAGAATCAGTGATCTCAGCAAAGCAGGAGCTGTAGCATCAGAGGACAAGTCTGGGGACCTACAGAGCAGGAAGGTTGGGAGCAAGGGCCCTGGGCACGTGGGGGGTGAGGATGGGGCAGAGGGGCCTGGCCCAGCTCCACCACCCACTCTGGGGCCCATCTGCTCCTTCCCAATGCTGACCTTGCCAGTGTAAGTCCTTGAGACATGGTGTATATCCTTGAGACAAACATGGTTCTGCCCTTTGCAGACTGATGTTTAGTCTGGGAGGCAAGCCCACACCCAGGGAGAATTACAAAACCAAACCAGCTGGCAAGACAGGCACTTCACACAAGGCAACCAGCCCTGTGGCCTCTGCTTGCTACCCGCCCGCCCACCACCAGAATCCACAAAAATGACATTGCAGTCTCCGGCAAGGGGACAGAAATGAAGTGTGATGACATCTGGACATTGTAGCCATGGCAACTCAGGGCCATTCTCGGAGGCCCAGATGGGGTACAGCTTCTCCCCAAACGAGAGATATACCTGACTGCTTCAAACAAGCCAATCTACCCCCTTGGGTTTAAGAAGAATCAAGGGACGTAATCTGATTTACGAGTCTCTTGATTTACATCTCTTGTAGCCTCCCTGCCTTACTCAACACCGTCAGCAGCTGTGGGCCACCCAACTTCAGGTAATTGCCCTTGCTCTGAATTGAGTGGCTGTAACTTGCCTTGGCGAAGTCATCATGGGAGATAGGGTCGTGATTCAAGGACCAGATGACCTGGGCTTGCTGCCCTGGCTTCACCTTCACCAGCAGTGGGACACTGAGCAAATCCCTGAGCCTCTCTGGGCCTTGGTTCCCTCCTCTAAGGATGAGAAGGACGATCATAGTATTTGTATCGTAAAGCCAGGCTGGTGTTCAGTAGATCTCTCTACACAGAGTAGGGGGGTGGTGCTTGCCGTGTGGGGCTCACTTGTCAGATGTCAGCTATCTTTTTACCCCCCACTTCCATCTTCCTGTCTTCTCACTCTCCCCCCACCCCCGCCACCTTCCATCACCCTTCAGGGAATTGCCTCTGAATATTGCCTTCTGCTTGACAGAACTGTAAATGAAGGAGCCAAAATCACCACTCCTTAAGTCTTCCCCTGACTCTGATTGGCCCAGTCATTGTCACATTTTGAATTAGGTCAGCTCCTTTTCCATAGTCTTTAAGAATAAAATAAAATATGCTGAGAAGAGTTAGAAAAATGAGAAGTGAACCCTAGCCTTTAATGAGCACTAGAGTAGGTTATACTGAACAGCTGTGATCCCCAAAGGATGCTCATTGACTTTAAAACATCCCTACTGTTTTTTCATCTATCAACCCCCCTACTCCATGCTTTTATTTTCTTGAGCTTGTATGAGTTGGCTTGTACCCTTCCAGACACAACAGTTGGTGTGTACTCCCCACAGAGAAAGGACTTGGGAAGGGAATCAAGTTAGAAACTAGATAATCTACAAGCCAGGGAGCCCTGCCCCCTCAAGCTTTGACTGAGAGTTAAATATGTTTGACACTTAATGAGGTTGTTGTATAATTTTTTCTTTCACTTTCTGTCTGTCCTTAGCATCTTTTCCAGCGCCAACAGAGGTGCCTACATCAATAGGTAATCTTTTCCACTTTCTTTAACTGCCTTCCCTTTCACAGAGTTTTAGGCCAGAAAAGCCCCAGCATTACTACGGGAGGAAATGTCCCTGCAGGAAGCACCTTCCTCCACAGCCTCAGGCCATACACATGGCTGCAGTCGAAGGAAGGGCTGATGAAATCCAGGCTCACCTAGCAAATCTGTGATTGGAAAGGGAGAGGAAAGAGGCTGTGAGATGCAAGGATGGCTTGTGGGAACCAGTATGGAAGCCAGCACCCAGAAAGGCTGGGATGGGAATACCTGGCTGACCCCACATCTCCACCCAGTCCTGCTGTGAGCTCCCCTTGGCTGTGTTCTGAGCATATCCAATCTCAACTCTCGCAACACTGCCCTTTGATCATGGGGAGCAGCCTGTGATGACTGCCCTTTATACTTCCCAGAGCATCTTTGCATGTGGTGACACCTGATCCTGGGGATAACACAGATGCAAATTATTGTTCTTGTCACTTGATCAGTATGTACAAGGCACTCAGAGAATCTTACACACACACACACACACACGTTCACACACCAGTTAGTGTGTGCATGATAGCTTCTCATGAAAAATCCAACAAACCCTGTGAGTGCCAGAAACCAAGACATCACAGCAAGAAGGGGCAGCTATGCAGGAAGGCAGGGCTCTGGAGCAGCTGGCTAAGGAGCAAAACTGTTTGTTAGCCAGCTATAATGCTGAAAAAACAAAAAGTTATACCCAAGGTTAAATTAAAATGAAGGTGGGGGGGGAGTAGATTTGTTATCATCCATGGTGAGTGCCCAATTTCCAAGAGATACTGGCTCTTCCAGTGGCCTCTCTGGATGAACTTTGATGGAGGTCATTGTTTGGATTGTCCACCAAGGTCTGGGCCTGCGGCTGGCCGATGGGTCAAGCCGGTGTGAGGGCCGAGTGGAAGTCTGCCATGCCGATACCTGGGGCACCGTGTGTGATGACAGCTGGTCCATCGAGGATGCCCACGTGGTCTGCAGGCAGCTTGGCTGTGGCCAGGCCGTGTCTGCCCTCCCGGGAGCCAGATTCAGCCCTGGGGTGGGCAGCATTCTCTTGGATGATGTCAACTGCACGGGCAGCGAGTCCTCCCTGGCGCAGTGCCCTCACAGCGGCTGGTTCACCCACAACTGCGGGCACCATGAAGACGCTGGCGTCATCTGCTCAGGTGAGCACAGGTGTCTTCTGGGCCAGGCCCGGGGCTGCCCAGGCCAAGAATTAGCACGTTGAGTCTGGAATTCCTCCATGCCTTCAACCTTCCACCGTGTTCCAGACGGCAGATTTCTATTCTAACTCTGAAAGATACGCCAGCCATTTAATATACGGGAGGATGCCATTCATCTTGAGTGTCTGCAAAGATTAACCAGTTATAAAATAAAGAAACTAACAGTATTTATCTCATAAAGCTGATGGGTGGATTAAGTGAAACTTTCCATGTAGAATATGTAGTCAAGCATATGGAACATTGTCAATGTACAAAAAGAATCCTCCTGCCAGTGCAGGAGATCTGGGTTTGATTCCTGGGTCCAGAAGACCCCCAGGAGGAGGAAATAGCAACCCACTTCAGTATTCTTGCCTGGGAAATCCCATGGGGAGAGGAGACTGGCGGGCTATGGTTCATTGGGTTGCAAAGAGTCAGACATGACTTAGTGACTAAACACACACAAAAAAACACAAATGTACAAAAACTTTAATTATTTTATTTTTGGCAGTGGTATTTTGGTTGCCAAGGCAAACTCTGTCAGAATCACTAGCTCAGAGATTTTAGCCAGGTGATACAGCCCACAGCTGGCTGTGAAAACCCAGAGGAGGCAGCCCTGGATGCTTCAGGATGATTGTTTACCAGGCCTGTTGAGCAGCATGTAAACTGAGACCGTGATCTTTGAACCACTCCACCACCCTGGTTTCTATTAATCCATCCTCCTGTTTCCTTTATCTCTGCAGATTCCGCAGTTGCTGGGAATCCAGGTACCTGTGATCTCACGTCCATTTTACTTGCTGATTGGTGACTAGCCATCTGGTGCAGAGTCCCCACGCTGGAAGACTGGGGACTGGGTCTTCCCCAGTCTGGGTCTGCCTTCCCAGTCTTAACTTTCCTTAACCATTGATGCTCTGAGCTCCTGACCTTTCCAACCTCCCAGGTAGTGAAGCTGCTCCCCAGTCCCGTGGGGGCCCTGCTTTGCACCCAGAGGAGAGGCTGTCCTGGGTGTTAGCATGGTGTGTCATTGCTTCCGCGTGTGAGAGCTGCATTTCAGTGAGACCCTGAGACACTAGTTCTCGACCCAGAACGGTGTTCATGTTGCAGAGGCCATGGGAGGCCAGAGACAAGAAGGTCCAGGGGGAGGTGGGCCTGGGCAGGAGCGGCTCCTCCCCTGGGACCACCCTTCCTGGGGCCCGGGATGCTGCCCTGGGATTCTGCGGCTCCAACAAGATGCCCCCGCCCTAGGTGGCCGTATCTGCATGATCCCAAAGTGAATGTGAAAGTCACTCAGTCGTGTCTGACTCTTTGTGACCCCGTGGACTATATAGAGTCCACGGACTTCTCCAGGTTAGAATGCTGGAGTAGGTAGCCTTTCCTTTCTCCAGGAGATCTTCCCTGGAGATCTGGACCCAAGGATCGAACCCAGGTCTCCCGTATTGCAGTTGGGTTCTTTACCATCTGAGCCACCAGGAAAGCCCAACAACACTGGAGTGGGGAGCCTGTCCCTTCTCCAGAGGATCTTCCTGACACAGGGAGAAACCCGGGGTCTCCTGCATTGCCGGAGAAGGCAATGGCACCCCCCTCACTACTCGTGCCTGGAGGATCCCATGGCCCGAGGAGCCTGGCACACTCAGTCGGACACAACTGAGCGACTGAGACTCTCACTTCACTGAGAAGGATATGAAATTTCATTGTGCTTGTTTGGAGTGTCCTCATGGTGAACTGTGTTTCTTTTTTACTCTCTAGTTACTTCAACACCTGGGGAACAGTCACATGTTTACCAACCAATAGGTACTGTTTCCATTCTTATATTTTGTATCTGCTTTTCTAAGGCTGGGGTTCTGCCACTAGTGGCCAAGAGAAATGTAGCCAATATTATTCTCATAGTCCTGTATGGAGTAAAATCTGCTCACTCAGGGAAGGTGGGTGTTCCTCATGTAGGGACCTTTTCAGGGAGAACAAATAACCCACCTGCCCTCAGTCACGGAAAGGCCTTATTAAGGCCCGGACCCACACAGGGCTCTGGTGGGGCCTTCTCAAAGGGGAAGCCCCCCAACCAGCCCCAAACTCTGGGGCTCAGAATCCGAGCATCGACTTCACCTGCTTTTAATTCAGGGCTCATTGTCACTTGGCCAAATCCTTTACCTTCTTGAGCAATGACACCGTCTCTTCTGCTACTCATTCTCCTAACCTCTGACTTCCTCCGTCATTCTCCAATGAATATGGTTTTCAAATTCAAGAAAAGTGAAAATAGTTGTGTCCTGAGAATTTCACAATATACTCTGAGAGATCGGGGCTAGAAAAGCAAAGTCTGAATCCTAAACCTTCAGCTGAACTGTGTTTAATTTTGAGAGAAACAACATGAGAAATGATACCCCAGAGAGGATGAAGGCTGGTTATTTTTATTGATTTATAGTTTATTTATTTGGCCATGCCATGCCTTAGCTGTGGCATCTAATTCCTAGATCAGGGATTGAACCCTGATCCCCTGCATTGGGAGCATGGAATCTTAGCCCCTGGACCACCAGGGAAATTCCCAGAAGGTTGTTTTTGGTGTGTGTGTCTCCTTAAAGTGGCTTTCCTGATGACTCAGTGGTAAAGAATCTGCCTGTAGTGCAGGAGACTCAGAAGATGCGAATTCCATCCCTGGGTCAGGAAGATCCCCTGGAGGATCTGCCTGCTCCTGTAGATCTGCCCGTGGTGAGGCTGGCCGGCAGCAGGAGCAGGTGTGAGGGCCGTGTGGAGATCCACCACCACGGCACCTGGAGGACAGTGTGTGACAACCCCTGGGACCTGCCGGCTGCCCGGGTGCTGTGCCGGCAGCTGGGCTGGGCTGGCAGCCCCGAGGAGCAGTCTGTTTGGCGATGGCTTCGGCCCCATCTCCCTGGACCACATGCAGTGTGCGGGCGATAGGCCCACCTGAGACGGTGCCTGCACCTCGGGCTGTCTGTCCACAACTGTGACAAGGTCACCGGGGCCATCTGCACAGGTACCGGACCTTCCCTGAGATCCAGCTTCCTCCCCAAGCAGCAGAGCCCCATCTGCCAAGCAGGCCGACCCCACATGGTTTGGGGCTCCAAGGCAGGCGAACGACTTAGGGGGAATCTTGAGTACCACCAGGGTCCCCCAAACACAAGGTCAAGGCCCCTTTTCAACATTGTTCCAGTGGGCCTCTGGGTCATTCCTAGTCTCTCTTCATTTGTTGATCTACCCAATGCTTGAGGCAATGCCCTTGAGTTCACTTTAGAGTCCAGTCTCTCCCATCTTCAAGGAATTGCCAGGTCCCCTCTGTAATCCACCCACTGGGGTAGTTCACTGTACTTCCTAATATTTGCCTTGAGATGATCTGTTGTGAGCTAAAGCTGACTTAGTAGTGCTGTGTTGGGAAATTTCTATGAACAAAACTGGGGTCCTCTCACCTATGCCCCTTGTGAAAGTGTCAACGCTATTTCTTTTGGCCCCAATGATTTGAGATAGTTTCCCTTTCTTCTTTTGTTAATTCAGCCCAATTATGCACTATACGAGACTGCCAGAAATGTAAAATAGAAAAGGAAATCAGATGAAATGAAATTACCCACTGCCCAGCTTCTCTTACTTTTATAGAGCAAAGATCAGAATAGGATTTAGTTCATCCATCCATTTATTTAACAGATATTTACTGAGCACTTTGGGCTTCGCAGGTGGTGCTAGTGGTAAAGAACCTGCCTGCCAATGCAGGAGATATACGAGATGTGGGTTTGATCCCTGAGTTGGGAAGATCCCCTGGAGAAGTGAATGGCTACCCACTCCAGTATTCTTGCCTGGAGAATTCCATGGACAGAGGAGCATGGTGGGCTACAGTCCATGGGGTCATACAGAGTCGGACACCACTGAGCACATAGGCACTGAGCACTTTATATTCACCAGACACAATTATAGGTGAATATAATAATGAGAGCAGCAGACAGCCATCCTGCCCTCAGGGTGCTTACATTCCAGTGCGAGGCTTCAAGATCACGTCTGTGTTTCAGCCATGATAAATCATTAACAAGAATAAATGAACACTGAATTGGGGCTCATAATACCCTTTATTGTGTTACAGAACCACTTTCTCCTAACATTTAGACAACTTAGTACTATGTCATAAACTAGTTTGTTGGATGAAGATGAGAAACCAATGTTAGAAACCTAAAGTCAGGACGAGGAAGGTTCCTGTGTGCGTGCTCAGCTGCTTCAGTCATGTCTGACTGTTTTGAAACCCCATGGACTATAGCCCACCAGGTTCCTCTGTATTTGGGATTCTCCAGGCAGGAATACTGAAGTGGGTTGCCATCCCCTTCTCTAGGGGATCTTCCTGATCCAGGGGTCAAAACTGTGTCCTTTGCATCTCCTGCTTTGCTGGTGGATTCTTTTACCACTAACCACCCTGGAAGCCCAGGAAGGTTCCTAGTACTTTGCAATTCAAGGAAATGTTTTCTTTTTATTGCATCCCAGAAACAGGCTTTCTGATCCATCCGTGGAGATGACGCTGTTCCCACAACAATAAATGCTTGCTTCCCACTTCCTGCCTCATGCATCCCTGTCTCTGTTCCAATCTCATCCAAGCAGCCTTTATCTTTAATGTCACATTTCGGGTCATTTTGTATCGAATTTGCATATATGAGGTACTAATCTTTAAAATATTGGGTTGGCCATAAAGTGCATTGGGGTTTTCCATAAGCTGGAACCGGAAAACCTGAATGCATTTTGTGGCTAACCCTATAAAACAGTATCTTCTAAATTTCTTATAAGTGGGTGGGATTTTTGTTTGGATTTTATCTTATTTTGGTTTCTGGTTTGTTTTTTTCATTTCAGTGTCAGCCACAGAAATGATCACCTCACCTGGTAATTTTATTTTCTTGTTTGCTTAATATAAATTATATATGTATAGACTGCCTTGCATATGGTTAGGGTTAAAGTTTATACCTCATATGAAGATAAGCATCAAG